GGTTTCTAACCTAAACAACTGAATCATGAACAAACTGGAAAAAAAGTGTGGGATGGGAACGGGGGGGAGGTTACTGGGGAGGGGAGGAGGGGAGGGCGGGAACTCAGAATCAGCCTGTGCAGAGCAGCTGCCCCCTCCCCTTCAAATCCCCCCTCCCCACCTTGGAAGGTGACTTTGCCCCACAGTCTCCTGGGCCAAGGGAAGGGGGAGAGGGCAGCTGATTCCACGGCGCCAAGTGACCCACATCCACCTGCTCACCTGGCCGGGGGGGGTCTTTCAAAGGCCGGTCCTTTTTTAAGGATGCTTGGGGGTAGATCCCTTTCGACCAGATCTCCTTGCTGATTCGACCTATCGGAACCTCGGAAACCGCCGGTGATCCGTTTGGACAAAAGTCTAAAATGTTTCGGTGGGGGAAAAAAAAAATTCCACGCTCCAGGTCTGGAGGGGGTTGGGGTAATGAGCAACAGGGAACCGTGGGAAGGGGCTGATGGTTTGGGGAGCACCTGGGTAAAATGCAGGGAAGTGGGGAGAGGGGTAGGGTCTCCGTGGACATCATACAGGGGGCTCTTAAAGGTTTTTCTCGGGGGGGGGCAGGAACCCCAGGGAGACCCGGAGGTGATCATCTTTATCATTTTTCTGCAACTTAGATAGAAACTTTCCCAGTTTGGACAATCTAAAAGGGTGTTTTTCAACCTGGAGAACTTTCAGACGGGTGGACCGCAACTCCCAGAATTCCCCAGCCAGCCTTGCTGGCTGGGGAATTCTGGGAGTTGCGGTCCATCCGTCTTAAAGTTGCCCAGGTTGAGAAACATTGATCTAAACCAGGGCTCTTCCAACTTGGCCCTTTTATGACTGATAGACTTCAACTCCCAGAATTCCTCACCAGCTTCCATTTTGTTTGTTAGATTTAAGACAGGAATCTTCAAACTTTTATGACTGGTGGACTTCAACTCCCAGAATTCCTCAGCCAGGCACGCATGCCTGGCTGAGGAATTCTGGGAGTTGAAGTCCACCAGTCATGAAGTGGCTCAGTTTGGAGCCCTGGTTTAGGACTACATACCTATATTAGATTCTTTATGACGGGGAAAAAAGCAGAAATCTTTCCCTTGTTCTACATTTAGTGATAATTACCCTCTTCCATCCATGGAGCCACAAAGCAGCCAACAAAAATCTGAACTGGTCCTCTCTCTACTCTTTTTTTCCAGAATGTTCCTTCAATATTTCCTCAAAATACTCATACCTGCCTTATATATTCTATAGAACAGGGGTCTTCAAACCTGGCCCTTTTATGCCTGGGGGACTTCAACTCCCAGAATTCCTCAGCCAGGCACCCGTGCCTGGCTGAGGAATTCTGGGAGTTGAAGTCCACTAGTCATAAAAGGGCCAAGTTTGAAGACCCCTGATCTAAACAATCCCCATTTACATGGAACATAATCAGGGCATTCACCCAAATTACATTTACTCAGCTGTTGGCCTCTAAGGTTGTTCTTTTTCCTTCTTCTTTTTGTTCTCCAGCTGCGTTTTACAGCTTTTTAAAAATAAATATTTCAAATTAACAATGGAACACGCGCACAGATTGGAATTTGTACAGACCAGACTGCTCTCCGGGGCCACCCATTGTTTCTGGGCCAGACAAGCCAGATCCCAGAAGATTGAATAACAGAATAACAGAGGTGGGAAGGGACCTCGGAGGTCTTCTAGTCCAGCCCCCTGCTCAAGCCGAAAACTCTGTAGCGTTTCGGGCAAGCGGCTGTCCGGTCTCTTCTTAAAAACCTCCAGGGATGGAGCACCTGCAACTTCTGGTGGCCAGCTGTTCCACTGGTTAATTGTCCTCACTGTCAGGAAGTTACTCTTTAATTCCAGGTTGCTTCTCTCCTTGGTGAGTTTCCATCTGTTGCTTCTTGTCCAGCCTTCCGATGCTTTGGAGAAGAGGTGGACCCCCTCTTCTTTATGGCAGCCCCTCAAATATTGAAAGACTGCTATCATGTCCCCCCTAGTCCTTTTTTTCATTGAGTTAAACCTATCTAGTTTCCTTGGACATTCATCATACTATTGAGTCTTTATTGCTCTTCTCTGAACTCTTTTTAGGGACTCAAGCTACCTCCCATTCTTAGGACTGTTACTCATCCGAGCAGAATCCATGAATCAGACAGAAGGGTGGGTTCAAGGAGAGGCTATTTGTCTGGGACATTTGGGTTTGGGCTCCTACCCTCCTCAGGGGGTTAGACTAGATGACCTCCAGATCCCTTCCAGTTTTAGGGTCCTGATTCATCCACGACCCCATGTCTTAAAACGCAGGACAGAGGGAGAGAGAGAAGAGAGAAAAGAATGAGAGAAAGAGAGAGAAAGAGAGAAGAAGGATGAGGGAGGAACATGATAGCAGTGTTCCAGGGGTTGCCCCAAAGAAGAGGGAGTCAAGCTATTCTCCAAAGAAGAATGGCTTCTTCTTTGGAGAAGAAGACAAGAAGCAACGGATGGAAACTCATCAAGGAGAGAAGCAACCTGGAACTAAGGAGAAACTTCCTGACAGTCAGAACAATTAACCAGTGGAACAACCTGCCTCCAGAAGTTGTGGGTGCTCCATCACTGGAGGTTTTCAAGATTGGACAACAATTTGTTTGGAATGATATAAGGACTTTGCTTTGAGCAGGGGTTGGACTAGAAGACCTCCAAGGTCCCTTCCAAGTCTGTTCTTCTGTTCTGTTAGTTTAATGAAGAGAAGGACGAAGTGTGACTTGATAGCAGTCTTCAAGTATTTGAGGATCTGCCACAAAAATGAGGGGGGCTCCACCTCTTCTCCAAAGCGCCTGAAGGCAGGACAAGAAGCAACAGATGGAAACTAAACAAGGAGAGAAACAACCTAGAACTAAGGAGAAAATTCCTGACAGAACAATTAACCAGTGGAACTCCTTGCCTCCAGGAGCTGTGAATGCTCCAACACTGGACGTTTTTAAGAAGAGGCTGGACAGCCATTTGTCTGAAATGGTATAGGGTTTCCTGCCTGAGCAGGGGGTTGGACTAGATGACCTCCAACGTCCCTTCCAACTTTATTATTATTATTATTGTTGTTGTTGTTGTTAGAAAGGAAGAGAGGGAGAAAAAAGAGAGAGAGAAAAGAAAGAAAAAGGAAGAGAAAAAGAGAGAAAGGAAGAGAGGGAAAAAGAAAAAGGGAGAAAAAAGTGAAAGAAATAGAAAAAAGAGTATTTTATTCTATTCTGCATTCTATATTCTGTTCTATTCTGCATTCTATATTCTATTCTATTCTATTTTATTCTGCATTCTATATTCTATTCTATTCTATTCTATTCTATTCTTTCCAACCTATACTGGACTCCTCCCCTTTATACATCTTTCACAATCTGTCAGGGGTTAAATAGCAACGACACCTCATCTTATAAAACTCCTCTTTCAAATGATAATTCAGTGTAAATTTCAGTCCATCACTCCCCATATTCTCCCCTTGGTCAAGCATAAAGTTATTTCTGATTTTTTTGGCCCATTTAATCGAACGCTCTTGGACGTGTTTAACTTCCGTATTCCTTTTCCACGGCCATTTATACATCTCAGCGCTCACACCTTCGTCCCTAGTACATAAATCCAATTCAAAGTCGCTTTTTCTCATTCATTAACAAACGCAATTCTTCTCGTCCGGTTTAAATTTGTCAATTTGCTTGGGGCAAAATGCATGGATGGATACAGCCCTCTCTTTCCGGTTCTTCTCCAGTTTTTAATTTAGGTTAAAATGAATTTATTAATTGGTGGAACTGCTTGACCCCAGAAGTTGTGGGGGCTACATCACGGGAGGTCTCCAAGAAGAGACTGGACAGCCACTTGTCTGGGATGGTATCTCCAACCTTAAGGACTTGGAGACTTGTGGACTTCAACTCCCAGAATTCCCCAGCCAGCATAGATTTCTGGGAGTTGAAGTCCTCAAGTCTTAAAGTTCCAAGACTGGACACTGCTAGTATAGGGTTCCTTGCTTGAGAAGGGGGTTAGACTAGAAGACCTCCAAGGTCCCTTTCAGCTCTGTTATTCTCCTTGAGTGCAAGTCAATAAATCCACATTGGTCAACCCAGTTTGTGTCATTACAATTTCTCCTCTAAGGAAAGCTTCCACGGGTGACAACGATAAAGAAATAGGAGGAGTCCATCTTACTTTATATCTCTTCCAAACTCTCATTACGACAAGCCAAACAAAATGATTTTGAAAATCTATATTCACCTTTGAGTTTTGTCGTTCCATAAAGAGCCGTGCCACTAAACTGGCCTCGGTTTGTGTACAGGCCGTCCTTGACTTATGACAAACAGAATAACAACAGAGTTGGAAGGGACCTTGGAGGTCTTCTAGTCCAACCCCCGGCTCAGGTAGGAAACCCTATATGATTATGGTCGTATGCCGTGACGCTTGTAAAACAAGTCACCACATGACCAGACTCCAATTTTATAACCTTTTTTGTGGCAGTTATAAAATAATGGACATTAAGTCCATTGTTCACTATGGGGCATTTTTTGACGGAAACTGGAAATATAAACGCCAATTTCTGGGAGAAATATTGTAACTCAAACGTAAAACAAAAAAGTTTAATAATAATAAAACCTACCATGCAGCTGCAGGATACTGTAAACAGATGCAGATACAGTTTTTAGCTTCCTTAAGTGCTTAATAATAATAATAGTAATAATAATAGTAAAGTTGGAAGGGACCTTGGAGGTCATCTAGTCCAACCCCCTGCTCAGGCAGGAAACCCTATACCATTTCAGACCAATGGCTTCTGGGGAGTCCGTCGCAACTTCAAACCGTCGCTAAGCAGGCTGTCGTAGGTTGAGGATTACCGTTATCACACCCAGCGAAGTCCTCATGCAATAGGAGATGCCTCAGCTGGTGATCTAAAGGTTTTCCAGCCTCTTACTTTTTTTTTGCAAGGGAAGGAAAGATAAAAGTCCTGCCAGGAGAAAAAGAAATAAATACATCTGATTTTTTTTTCTTCTTGGTTCTTGCAGATCTTCAGTTAGAGACCTGGGATCTGAAATGCGAGGAGAACAACCAGGATCACAAGACCTCCGAAATGGGCTCCCATCGGCTCGTTGTACGCCGAGGACAGCCCTTCCGGATCACCCTGCACTTCGCAGGCAGAGCGTACCATGAAGGCGTGGACAGGCTCACCTTCATCGCAGAGACAGGTGAGACAGGAGGTGGGATGGATCACGACTCCCATCACCCACAGCTGGCCCTTGCAGATAGGGGTATGACCTGACACACACCTTGCAGGGATAGGCAAACAGGCCCACCGGAAATGTGTTGGATCGCGTTGCGTAGGTGGGTGTTTCTCAACCTCGGCCAACCTTGGAACATGTGTGGACTTCAACTCCCAGAATCCCCCAGCCAGCATCGCTTTATTGATGGATGGCAAATTTGGGGGTTTTTTTTTGACGAAAACTTATTATTTCTGACCGAAGCCCCCCCCCAACCCTCCTGTTGTGGACAGTGGAGCCACTTAATGACTGTCATGTTCACTTAACACTGCCGTATTCATTTAAGAACCATCACATTCACTTAATGGCGGCTGTCTTCTCTTAATAACCACCACTCTATCTCCTGGGTGCCTCAACGGCCGCATGACATAGGATGGAAAGTCCAGGTTTCTTGACGGTCGTAAGCTGAGGACTGCCTAGGACCCTATTCCTGAGTCTCCCCCATTTCTTTTCAGAGAAAATTTTATTTAGTAGATTTTTTTATTATTATTATGTTAAGGTTTTTAAAAATTGTTTTAATTTGAGAACCGTCAGGCGCCCAGAGTCACTTGCTTGAGTTGGGTGGCTAAAGAAATTCAACAAATGCCTACATAAAAATCAATAAATAAAATGCACGTTCAAAGTAAGCTTCCTCACCAAACGGCCTGGAGCCCTGTAGAAATTGCAAATGAATGAATGAATGAATGAATCCACTTTCATATGCAACCTCCCCACCAAATAGCCTGGAATCCTGTAGAAATTGAATAGATAAAAAATAAAAAATAAATATTATACCATATTTATTATGATGCAATAAATATACTGCATCCAGTTTTGGTCACCACGATGTAAAAAAGACGTTGAGACTCTGCAAAGAGTGCAGAGAAGAGCAACAAAGATGATTAGGGGACTGGAGGCTAAAACATATAAGGAACGGTTGCTAGAATTGGGTATGTCCAGTTTAATGAAGAGAAGGACGAGGGGGGACATGATAGCAATGTTCCAATATCTCAGGGGCTGCCCCAAAGAAGAGGGAGTCAAGCTATTCTCCAAAGCCCCTGAAGGCAGGACAAAAAGCAATGGATGAAAACTGATCAAGGAGAGAAGCAACCTGGAATTAAGGAGAAACTTCCTAACAGTGAGGACAATTGACTAGTGGAACCACTTGTCTCCAGAAGTTGTAGATGCTTTACCACTGGAGGCTTTTGACAACAGACTGGACAGCCCCTTGTCTGGAATGATATAAGGTTCCCTACCTTGGAAACAGGGTTGGACTAGAATAGAATACAATAACAGAGTTGGAAGGGACCTTATAGGTCATCTAGTCCAACCCCCTGCCCAAGCAGGAGAGCCTACACCATTTCTGACAGATGGCCATCCAGTCTCTTCTTGAAAGCCTCCAATGATGAAGCTCCCACAACATCTGAAGGCAACTTCTGTCCCATTGCTTGATTGTTCTCACTGTCAGAAGATTTCTCCTTATTCGCAGGTTGAATCTCTCCTTGATCAATTTACATCCATCGTTCCTTGTCTGGCCTTCAGGTGCTTTGGAAAAGAGCTGGACATCCTCCTCTCTGTGACAGCCCCTCAAATATTGGAAGGCTGCCATCCTGTCACCCCTGGTCCTTCTTTTCTCTAGACTGGACATACCCAATTCCCGCAACCGTTCTTCATAGTGTTTTTGTTGTTAATTGCAAAGTCATGTCCGATCCATCGCAACCCCATGGACCACATTCCTCCAGGCCTTCCTGTCCTCTACCATCTTCTGGAGTCCATTGAAGCTCACACCTCCTGCTTCAGGGACTCCCTCCAGCCCTTTCCTTCTCTGTCGTCCCCTTCTTCTCTTGCCCTCCATCTTTCCCAGCATTAGGCCCTTCTCCAGGGAGTCCTTCCTTCTCATTAGGTGGATGGATGGATGGATAGATATAGATAAATAGGTAGGTAGGTAGGTAGGTAGATAGGTAGATAGATAGATAGATAGATAGATAGATAGATAGATAGATAGACAGACAGACAGACAGACAGATAGATAGATGTTGTTAGTTGTGAAGTCGTGTCCGATCCATCACAACCCCCTGGACCACATTCCTCCAGGCCTTCCTGTCCTCCACCATCTTCTGGAGTACGTTGAAGCTCACTCCCACTGCTTCAGGGACTCCCTCCAGCTACCTCCTTCTCTGTCGTCCCCTTCTTCTCTTGCCCTCCGTCTTTCCCAGCATCAAGCTCTTCTCCAGTGAGTCCTTCCTTCTCACTAGGTGGATGGATGGATGAATGGATGGATAGATATAGATAAATAGGTAGGTAGGTAGGTAGGTAGGTAGGTAGGTAGGTAGATAGATAGATAGATAGACAGACAGACAGACAGACAGACAGACAGATAGATGTTGTTAGTTGCGAAGTCGTGTCCGATCCATCGCGACCCCCTGGACCACATTCCTCCAGCCTTCCTGTCCTCTACCATCTTCTGGAGTCCATTGAAGCTCAGGCCTCCTGCTTCAAGGACTCCATCCAGCCCCCTCCTTCTCTGTCGTCCCCTTCTTCTCTTGCCCTCCATCTTTCCCAGCATTAGGCCCTTCTCCAGTGAGTCCTTCCTTCTCACTAGGTGGCCAAAGAACTTGAGTTTCCACTTCAGGATCCGGCCTTCTAAAGAGCAGTCGGGGTGGATCTCCTCCAGGACTGACCGGTTGGATCGCCTTGCAGTCCAGGGGACTCACAGGAGTCTTCTCCAGCACCAGAATTCAAAGGCCTCCATTCTTTGGCGCTCAGCCTTTCTTAGGGTCTGATAGTAGACCTCTGTTATCCTGTTAAATAAATACATAACATTTACTTTCAGAGGAAACCTCCCTACGGAACATCCGAAGCTCTGTCGGGTGTTCACAGCCTGAATCCCCACATTCCTCAATGGGGTGGGAAGGGAGGAGGAAGGCTGCGGAGTGGGGAGGGCTGGGGGGGTCCACGTTGTCCTTGGCGCAGGTTTTATCTCTTCCATCCAGGCAGCCTGTGGGCAGAGAAGGGTTGGAGGCAGTGAAACAAAGGCAGGAAGTTGTGGGATTGTCCTTTCCCACAGTGTTTACTCCGTTGTGTTCCCAAACAAAGTGGTCACTGTGTTGGCCCTCCCTGGGGGACCAGGCCAGGGACGACCCCAAAGCCAGACCCTTTGATCTGCTGGCCCCCTTGGAAAAATCTCCCGGTGCTGGGAAGCTGCCCCTAGCCCCAAAGGGGAGGGGGGATTCTGCAGCAGCTTGCTCTGTGCCAGGAGAGGGTGAGCTTTTGTGCCCACCAAAGACAGGCACTGCCGGGTCTTCACTCCCCAAGTCAGCCACTGCTGGAGCTGAGCCAATAAAGGAGAATATTTGGAGCTCAGGGCTGACATGGGGGGTCCAGGCATGACAGGAAAGGAGCTGGTTGGCTTTCTTGCAGACGTTTCATGATCCACGTTCAGTTACATCATCAGTGCTACAAGGGAGGGGAGTTTGCAGAGAGGAGGAGGAGGAGGAGGAGGAGGAGGAGGAGGAGGAGGAGGAGGAGGAGGAGGAAGACTGTGGGGTCCTTGGTGCTCTCTGAGCTTGGGTGTTTCCTTGTGGATGTTTCATGGCCCAACTAGGGAACATCATCAGTGCTAGAAGGGAGAGGGGTTTGCAGAGAATAGTAGTAGTAGTAGTAGTAGTAGTAGTAGTAGTAGTAGTAGTAGTAGTAGTAGGACTGTAGGGAGCCTGGTGGTTTTCTTGCAGATATTTAATGACCCTGCTAGAGAACATTATCAAGGCTAGAGGAAATGGGGTTTGTGGAGAGGAAGAGGAGGAGGAGGAGGGAAAGAAAGAGAAAAAAGGGAAGGAAGGAAGGAAGGAAGGAAGGAAGGAAAGAAAGAAAGAAAGAAAGAAAGAAAGAAAGAAAGAAAGAAAGAAAGAAAGAAAGAAAGAAAGAAGGGCTGTGGGGTCTTTGGTGCTCTCTGAGTTGGTTGTTTTCTTGCAGACGTTTCATGACCCAACTAGGGAACATCATCAGTGCTAGATGAGTGTGTGGAGGAGGAGGAGGAGGAGGAGGAGGACTGTAGGGAGCCTGGTGGTTCTCTTGCAGATATTTCATGACCCAACTAGGGAACATCATCAGTGCTAGAAGGGAGTGGGGTGTGCAGAGAGGAAAAGGAGAGGAAGAGGAGGAGGAGGAGGAGGAACTGTGGCGTCCTTGGTGCTCTCTAAGCTTGGGTCTTTCCTTGCGGACGTTTCATGACCCAAACTAGGTAACGGCATCAAACCTCAAATATCAAACGTATACAAGAAAACACCCAAGCTCAAGGTCCCCACATGAAGGAAGATCTCCTGCTTGAGTAGGGGGTGGGTGTAGAAGACCTCCCACTTCCCTTCCAACTCTGTTGTTCTGCTATTCTGCATTCCTTCCCTCCCTCCTTCCCTCCCTGGCTGGGGTCCTTCTCCATTCTCAAAACCAAGATTGCAATTTGATGGCCAAACGATGTTCGGGGCCTCTTGTGAATCTGTTTCCACCCAGAGGTTAGCCTTGAACAAGTCCTCAGCAGCTTGGGGTGATTCCTCTTTGAAGTCATAGACAGGAATGTCTGCACTGGGAGGGGAGGTTAAAAAAGTCATGAAAATCAGCAATACAGAAACCAGCAGTAGAACATAGATTAACAGAGATGGAAGGGACCTTGGAGGTCATCTAGTCCAACCTCCTGCTCAGGGAGGAAACCCTATACCATTTCGGACAAATGGCCGTCCAGTCTCTTCTTAAAAACTTCCAGTGTTGGAGCATTCACCGCTTCTGGAGGCAGGTAGTTCCACTGGTTAATTGTTCTCACTGTCAGGAAGTTTCTCCTTAGTTCCAGGTTGCTTCTCTCCTTGATGAGTTTCCATCCGTTGCTTCTTGTCCTGCCTTCAGGGGCTTTGGAGAATAAGTTGACCCTCCCATCTTTATAGGAGCTCCTCAAATATTGGAACACTACTATATAGATACATAACAGAAGTAGACTTAATCAACAATAGCTTCCATCTGGATTATACGTCACACAGTAAGGCAAAGATAAACATTCAGGGTAGAATTTGTAAAGTTTATACTTGCATGGCAAAAGGATTGGAGAGCAAAGAACGGGCAAGTCAGACGTGAAATATTTAACAGAATAACAGAATTGGAAGGGACCTTGGAGGTCATCTAGTCCAACCCCCTGCTCAGGCAGGAGACCATTTCGGACAAATGGCCATCCAATCTCTTCTTAAAAACTTCCAGTGTTGGAGCATTCACCATTTCTTGGGGCAGGCGGTTCCACTGGTTAATTGTTCTCCCTGTCAGGAAGTTTCTCCTTAGTTCTAGGTTGCTTCTCTCCCTGATTTAGTTTCCATCCGTTGCTTCTTGTCCTGCCTTCAGGCGCTTTGGAGAATAGCTTGACTCCCCTTTTATCTGTGGCAGCCCCCCAAATATTGGAAGACTGCTATCATGTCACTCCTGGTCCTTCTTTTCACTAAACTACATATACCTGGTTCCTGCAACAGTTCATTATATGTGATATCTATATTATACTTAGGGATATTTTTCTCTTCTTTTTTAAGTAGAGCAGAGATTTTATCCCAAAGGTGCTTTTTTTCCAAAAGGCAGCTGCAATTTCTTGTGTGTGTTTCCTTTTCTTTGAAAATATTTCTTATTCAAGAAGCTTCTTCAGAACTGGATGAGAAGTGAAACATTTTCAAAGAAAAATAACACCAAGAAAGTCCAGTTGCCTTTTGGAAAAAAAAAAAATCACATTTGGGACAACCCTGACTTGGATGATTGAGTGTCTCCAGAGATTTTGCTACCAAGCTCAAAAAATGTTTATATTTCTTGTTTTGATATCCAGGTACCTTTCGTAGCATATCTTTGTCATGTTCTATTAAGCATTAATTGCCAAACATCAGTCATTAAGCTTGGGAGATGCATGATGGGTGGACTTTAACCCCCAGAAGGTAAGGAATTCTGGGAGTTGAAGTCCACCCATCTTAGCTAGCTGGGACACGCTGGGAGTTGTTGCCCACCCATCTTAGCTAGCTGGAGCATCCTGGGAGTTGAAGTCCACCCGTCTTAGCTAGCTGGGGATCCTGGGAGTTGAAGTCCACCCATCTTAGCTAGCTGGAGCATCCTGGGAGTTGAAGTCCACCCGTCTTAGCTAGCTGGAGCATCCTGGGAGTTGAAGTCCACCCGTCTTAGCTAGCTGGGGATCCTGGGAGTTGAAGTCCACCCGTCTTAGCTAGCTGGAGCATCCTGGGAGTTGGTCCACCCATCTTAGCTAGCTGGAGCATCCTGGGAGTTGGTCCACCCATCTTAGCTAGCTGGAGCATCCTGGGAGTTGAAGTCCACCCGTCTTAGCTAGCTGGAGCATCCTGGGAGTTGAAGTCCACCCGTCTTAGCTAGCTGTGGATCCTGGGAGTTGAGGTCCGCCCATCATAGCTAGCTGGGGATCCTGGGAGTTGAGATCCACCCATCATAGCTAGCTGGAGCATCCTGGGAGTTGTTGCCCATCCATCTTAGCTAGCTGGGGATCCTGGAAGTTGAAGGCCACCCATTTTAACTGACTGAGCAATTCTGGGAGTTGAAGTCCACCCATCCATAGAAACTGGTTTTAAATCCAAATTTTAAAAAGGGAAGTCAAGAGAGCAGCTCCCCCTCCCCCTTGCAAGGAAAGGGGCATTGAGAATATATCGGGGCTGTGCCGTGCCATCTACAGACCCTGGTGGATTGTGACCAACGTCCTGTAATTGACGGAGAGATTTGGGGATTTGGGTTGTGGGCAAGAGGAGACCCCCAACTCTGCTTGGCCAAAAGGTGACCCTGACTTCCATCCCTCCCGCTCTCTCTCCCCCCCCCCCAGCAAGGGGCACCCTGCCAGCTCCTGGACCTGGATGAAAAGGGTCTCTGTCTGTGCGGAAGGCAGAGTCATCATCGTCGGGGTCCTGGCAGGCAAACCTGAAGGAGGGTCTGTCCTGCAGCCTCCCCCCCCACCCCCATCTGTCCTGGCCTCTCGGCACAAAGAGCCGGTGTTGCTGGCATGGGGGGGGGGAGGTAGAGGCTGGGCTGGGCAGCTAGGAGTTGGCAGACCCGTCCTAGGAAGTGACACCTCCCCCCCTTCTTTGCAAGAATGAATGGACCCTTGTCCGGAGGGGAAGGGCAGGTATTCGTGTGCCCCGTGTCTCGTCCCTTGGGGGGGGGGCTGCTGAGTCAGCGCTTGGCCAAGCGGGGGGGGGGGGGGGCCAGACGGCTTCTCAGACTGCCAGTGGCCAGCTGGAGGGGGAGGCAAACACACCCCTCCCTCGAGGCTGCTGTGTGTTTTCACCCACGGCCTCTGATTGAAAGACGCCCATCCTTCTGCCAAATGGGCAGGAGGGCAAGCGGGCAGCCTGTCCTGGCAGTGGGCAGAGGGAGGGAGGAAAAGGGAGGGAGGGAGGGGAGGGAAGGAAAGAAGGAGGGAAGGAGATGGGAGGGGAGGGGAGAAAGAGAAGGAAAGGAGAAAGAAGGAGAAAGGGAAGGAAAGGAAAGGAAAGGAAAAGTCAGGAAAGGAAAGGAAGAGGAAGGATAGAGAGAGAGGGAAGGTGGGAAGGAAGGAAAAGGAAGGAGGGAAGGAAAGGAAGGGAAGGAAAGGAAAGGAAAGGAAAGGAAAGAGGGAAGGAGGGAGAGATGCCAATGGAAGTTTACAGCCAGGGTGGGGCAGGTGCTCCGCTTGCTTGACTATCAGCCCAGCCTTTATGAGATGCCAACAGAGCTTGTGGTAAAGAAGCCTAATCTTCAGGGGGGGGGGGACTGTAGATGTTCTGGATGAGATGAGGAGACAGAGAGAGAGAGAGAGAGAGAGAGAGAGAGAGAGAGAGAGAGAGAGAGAGAGAGAAACACACCTGCACACCTATTGGCCAATGAGCTCCCCTCCTCACCAGGGGTTTGCAGTGGCCACCCAGAACCCCCCCCCCTGCTTTCCCGGGGGGGGGGAGCTCCCAACAGCCAGGCAGCCCTTGGCAGGAGAGCGTGGGGGGGGGGGAAGCTTGCCAGCCCCCTGGCACCTGGGCACGGCCCCAAAAGCTTGCCAGGAGCTGCCCCGGGCAGTGGGGGGGGGAGCCGAAGAGCCGGGCAAGGCAAGGACTGGGCTTAAGGTGTTTGGGGACCCAAGATAGGTTGACCTCTCCTCTCCTTGGGGGGGGGGTCTCCTTGCTGGCCGGGGAATTCTGGGAGTTGAAGTTCGCCCATCTTCCGGTGATCAAGTTTGAGACAGACTGATCTAGACTGCGGAGCAATCTGTAGAAAAAGAGAGAGTTTGCCGGCAGCTGATGCCAAGTCTTCCTTGTGGGACACCTTTTCCCCTTGTGCCATTAGCAGCTTCCTGAAAGGACACATACACACACAGAGAGAGACACACAGACACAGACACACACACACACACACACACCAGCACCACAAGGGGCGGGCCCTGAAACTCCCATGAGACCTTGGAAGGATAGATGAACTCACCTGTCCCCTTCTTCTCTCTCTCTCCCCTACCCTCCTTCATTCCTTTCTTCCCTTCCTTCCTTCCTTCAATCCTCCCTCTTTGTTAATCCCTTCCTTCCTTCTTCTCTCTTTCCCTCCCTCCCTCCCTTCCTCCCTCCCCCTCTCCCCCTTTTCCTGTCAATCCATTCCTTCCTCCCTTCTTCCCTCTCTCCCTCCCTTCCTCCCTCTCTCCCTCTCTCCTTCCTCCCTTCTTCCCTCCCTCCCTCCTTCCCTTCCTCCCTCTCTCCCTCTCTCCCTCTGTCAATCCTTTCCTTCCTCCCTTCTTCCCTCCCTCCCTCCTTCCCTTCCTCCCTCTCTCCCTCTTTCCCTATGTCGATCCTTTTCTTTTGTCATTCTTCCCTTCCTCTCTCCTTCCCTTCCTCCCTCTTTCCCTCTGTCAATCCCTTCCTCCCTCCCTTCCTCCCTCTCTCCTTCTTTTCCTTGTCAATCCTTTCCTTCCTCCCTCCCTCCCTCCTTCCCTTCCTCCCTCTCTCCCTCTTTCCCTATGTCGATCCTTTCCTTTCGTCATTCTTCCCTTCCTCTCTCCTTCCCTTCCTCCCTCTTTCCCTCTGTCAATCCCTTCCTCCCTCCCTTCCTCCCTCTCTCCTTCTCTCCCTCTGTCAATCCTTTCCTTCCTCCCTCCCTCCTTCCCTTCCTCCCTTCCTCCCTCTCTCCCTCTTTCCCTCTGTCGATCCTTTCCTTCCTCCATTCTTCCCTTCCTCTCACCTTCCCTTCCTCCCTCTTTCCCTCTGTCAATCCCTTTCCTTCCTCCCTCCTTCCCTCCCTCCCTCCCTCCCTCCCTTCCGCAGGACCTTGCCCCATCGAGACCTCCGGCACCCGGGCCCCCTTCCCTCTCTCCTGCTCCCTGGAGGGACCGTCCTGGAGTTCGGCCGTGGAGCAGCAGGAGGGCCTCTCTCTCTCCGTCGCCATCGCCTCCCCTCCGGACGCCCGCATCGGCCGCTACCGCCTGGTGCTGGACGCCTCCACCCAGTATCAGGGCTCCAGCTTCCCCCTGGGCGAATTCGTCCTGCTCTTCAACCCCTGGTGTCCAGGTAAGGCCCCTCCCCGCCCAGGGAGCAACCAGCGAGGTCGCCTTCTTCCAAACTAGATCCCTTCCAGCACCGTCTGCCCAGAGGATCAGGTGAGGTTCTCCTGCGTGGAAGATCCGACCCATCTTGAGGGATCCACCTTGGAGAAGGATCTTCCTACGCCAGTGTTTCCCAAACTTGACAATTTTAAGGCATGAGGACTTCAACTCCCAGAATTCCACAGCCAGCAACGCTGGCTGTGGAATTCTGGGAGTTGAAGTCCACATGCCTTAAAATTGTCAAGTTTGGGAAACATTGTGACCTACGCTGACTAGCAGCAACTTCCCAGGGCTTCGGAGATGATTCTCCTAACTCCTTCCTGATGTTCAGGTGCACGCAGTCCTCAACGTACGTCCGCAACGGACCCCGCGATTTCCATTGCTAAGCAACACCGTTGTGGCGTGGGTTTTGCCCCAGCGGACAATTTTCCTTGCCACACTTTACAAAGCGAATCGCTGTGATTGTCAAGTTGGTGACGCGGTTGTTAAATGACTCTGCTGCCCCATTGTCCGAAGGTCGCAAAAGCGGATCGCGTAACCCCCGGGGGGGAGGCTGTGACCGTCATAAATAGGAGTCAGTTGCCGTTTCAGCGGTCGTAAATGTGAAAAACAATCGTGTCATTTTTTTTTCAATGATGTGGTGACTTTGAACAGTCACTAAACCAGTGGTTCTCCACCTGTGGGTCGGGACCCCATTTGGGGTCGACCGACCATTTTATGGGGGTCGCCAAACAATGCAGTTCGCCATTTCCCCCCCCCCCTTTTCCTTAGCTGTGCTACTCCCTTTTATTCTATGGGCTTTTGAAAGCCAATAGAATAGACTCTCTTGAATAGAGTCTAATTCTATTGGCTTTCAAAAGCCAATAGGAATGGTCCAAGCTGTCTCTGCCCTGCTGAGCCCGCCAAAAGTCCCATTCTGCAAACAGTGCTGCACCAGTTGAGTAGTCCTCGACTCACGACCAGTTGAGTAGTCCTCGACTTACGACTGGTTGGGGGTCGCAGCATTAAAAAGGTTGAGAACCACTGCAGTAAACGGATGTTTGTTAGCCAAGGACTAGCTGATTACACGTGGGGTCTCTGCTAGAGCGAATTCTCAACCGTCAAGTGGCTGAGCACAGGGATCTGTTGCGTTCCCGTGAACAAGTCCCATCACGCAATTGCGTTGCTTCTGGTCTAGGATGTTGCCTGACAAACTCGGCTAATTTTTGTGTGCTTTGGAAACCCTGGTTAGATAAACAAGGTCTTAGAGCCCAGCCCTTGTATATGGAAGGCGTCATTGCAATTAGCCTTTTGCAGTTCCAAGTGGAGGCATCTCACACAACAAAGACATCTTCCCACAGGACAGGAAGCATTTGTTGAGCGGAAAGGTTTATATCCAGCATTATCCAGTAGCTGCGTTGATGGCCTCGGTTACTACCTTTGTGGTTTTGTTTTTCTTACTTGCTTTTACTGGGTGAACAACTCCCAGGAGTGGCAGCCAAGAAACACAACTTCAGCTTGTCCCACCGTTGGTGGATTCCTGAACACAGAACGTAGGATAATAGGGTCCAAAGGGATCTTGGAGGTAGTAATAATAATAAAGTTGGAAGGGACCTTGGAAGTCATCTAGTCCAACCCCCTGCTCAGGCACCATTTCAGACCGTCCATTCTCTTCTTAAAAACCTCCAGTGTTGGAGCATTGACCGCTTCTGGAGGCAGGTTGTTCCACTGGTTAATTGTTCTAACTGTCGGGAAGTTTCTCCTTAGTTCCAGGTTGCTTCTCTCCTTGGTTAGTTTCCACCCGTTGCTTCTTGTCCTGCCTTCTGGCGCTTTGGAGAATAGCTTGACTCCCTCTTCTTTGGGGCAGCCCCTGAGACACTGGAAGACTGCTATCACGTCCCCCCTCGTCCTTCTCTTCATTAAACTAGACATCCCCAATTCCAGCAGCCGTTCTTTTTATGTTTCAGCCTCCAGTCCCCCGATCATCTTTGTCTTCTAGTCTAACCCTCTGCCTATGGCAGGAGATCAACTCCAAAGGGCTTTTGAACTGAGATATCGTGGGGCCCTCTTCCTGTCCATAATTTGTCACTAAGACGGGGAAGACGTCCTGAGGAACAGGGTAGATATTAGCCCCCTTATTGTGGGTCACTCAAACTGAGTGACTGAGAACCCCAATGTTCTCTGAAGACCCCATAGATGAGAGAGAAGCAACTTCCAAGAGGCGAGCTGAAAGCTCTTGGGGATTGGAGGTCCAGTCTGTTTCAATCTCCAGATGTGGAGAGGATGGCTAGTCTCCTTGTGGGCATCTCTTGGGCATAGAAAAGCAACAAGGGTGGATATGGGTCTGGAGGCTAAACCATACGATGGACGATTGAGAGGACTCGGTGTGAAGAAGAGAAGGACCAGGGGCGATAGGACAGTTATCTTCCATGATTTGAGTAGCTGTCACAAAGAAGAGGATTGGTCACCACGATGTAAAAAAGATGTTGAGACTCTAGAAAGAGTACAGAGAAGAGCAACAAAGATGATTAGGGGATTGGAGGCTAAAACATATAAGGAACAGTTGCGAGAATTGGGTGTGTCTAGTTTAACAAAGAGAAGGACAAGGGGGGACAGTAGAGCAGTGTTTCAATACTTGAGGGGTTCTCACTGAAAACAGGGGGTCAACTTATTCTCCAAAGCACTGAAGGCAGGACAAGAAGCAACGGATGGAAACTAAGCAAGGAGAGAAGCAACCTAGAACTAAGGAGAAACTTCCTGACGGTGAGAACAATTAACCAGTGGAACAACCTGCCTCCAGAAGGGGTGAAGGCTCCAACACTGGAAGTTTTTAAGAAGAGACTGGACAGCCATTTGTCCGAAATGGTGTAGGGCCTCCTGCCTGAGCAGTGGGTTGGACTAGATGACCGCCAAGGTCCCTTCCAACTTTACTACTATTACTATTACTAATTCTCTTATTCTGCGGTGACCAAAATATTGGACTCAAGTCTGACGTGTTGACGGATGTTGATGTTGCTGATGTTCAGTTTTGGTCATCACAATATAAAAAAAAGATGTTGAGAATCTGGAAAGAGTGCAGAAAAGAGCAACAGAGATGATTAGAGGGCTGGAGAATAAATATGAAGAACGGAATTGGGTATGGCTAGTTTTATTAAAAGAAGGACTGGGGTGACATGAGAAAAATAGATACATAAATAAATACACAGAGACGTAGGTGAAGTCATAGAGAGAAACAACCTGGAACCAAGGAGAAGCTTCCTGACAGTGAGGACAATTAGCCAGTGGAACAGCTTGCCACCAGAAATCGCGGGGGCTCCATCACTGGAGGTTTTTAAGAAGAGACTAGACCAGTGGTTCTCCACCTGTGGGTCGGGACCCCGTTTGGGGTCAAACGACCATTTCACGGGGGTCGCCAAACAACGCAGTCCGCCATTTTTCCCCCCTTTTCCTTAGCTGTGCTACTCCCTTTTATTCTATTGGCTTTTGAAAGCCAATAGAATAGACTCTCTTGAATAGAGTCTAATTCTATTGGCTTTCAAAAGCCAATAGGAATTGTCCAGGCTGTCTCTGCCCTGATGAGCCCGCCAAAAGTCCCCTTCTGCAAACGGTGCTGCACCAGTTGAGTAGTCCTCGACTTACGACCGGTTGAGTAGTCCTCGACTTACGACCGGTTGAGGGTCGCGGCATTAAAAAGGTTGAGAACCACTGGACTAGACAGTCACTTGTCTGAGATGGTATAGGTCCTCCTGCTTGAGCAGGGGGCTGGACTAGAAGACCTCCAAGGTCCCACCCACCCAGCTCCTCTTCTCTTCTCTTCTCTTCTCTTCTCTTCTATTCTATTCTATTCTATTCTATTCTATTCTATTCTATTCTATTCTTTGTAATTCTGCTCTATTCTATTGTATTTCTTATTCTATTCTATTCTGTTCTGTTCTGTTCTGTTCTGTTCCGTTCCGTTCAGTTCCGTTCCGTTCCATACCATTTCATTCTATTCTATTCGACCTCCAAGGTCCCTTGCAGCTCTATTCTATTCAAGTCCAGAGGGGTTGGACTAGAAGACCTCTGAGGCCCCATCAACATCGTCATTCTCTGATTCAGAAGACCCAGGGCACTAACCAGCCTGAGTGGGAACGGAGGAGCCTTAGAGGAGCTGGGGCTGGAAGGCTTCCAGGGCTGTTCCCTGCCTCCGGTGACCTCACTGAGGTCACTCCAGGACCTCCTGTTCCCTGGCTGACCCCTGTCCTGGTTTCCTGGACTCCACCAGCCTTTGGGCTAAAGACCTGCCAGATGAAGGGAAGAGGAAGCCCCGCTTAGCGGGGTGAGGGGGCTTGGAGGATCCCACAAGACCGGATGGGCTTCCAAGATCTTCTGCTGCTTTCCCCGGGCAGAGGGCCGGAAGAGGCCTCCCCGTGGGAGGGGGCAGTTTTGGGAATGGCAGAGCTTTTGGGGAGGAGACGTTAATGATGGGGTCAAGACCCAGCTAGGGAACATCATCAGTGGCGGAAGGGAGGGGAATTGGCAGAAAGGGGGAGGGAGACTGGGGTCCTTGGTGCTCTCTGAGCTGGGTGGTTTTCTTGCAGACCTTTCATGACCCAACTGGGTAACATCATCAGTGCTGGAAAGGAAGGGGATTGCAGAGAGGAGGAGGAGGAGGAGGAGGAGGAGGAGGAGGAGGAGGAGGAGGAGGAAGAGAAGGAAGACTGTGGGGTCCTTGGTGCTCTCTGAGCTTGATGGCTCTCTTGCAGACGTTTCATGACCCAACTAGGGAACGTGATCAGTGCTAGAAGGGAGGGGGGTTTGCAGAGAGGAGGAGGACTGTGGGGTCCTTGGTGCTCTCTGAGCTGGGTGGTTTTCTTGCAGATGTTTCATAACCCATCTAGGTAACATCATCAGTGCTAGAAGGGAAGGAGGTTTGTGGGGGGGAGGAGGAGGAGGAGGAAGAGGAGGAGGAGGACGACGATGACTCTGGAGTCCTTGATGCTCTCTGAGCTTTGTGGTTTTCTTGCAGAGGCTTCACTACCAAACTAGAACACAGTTCCCTGTTAATTTTATTTTAAAATTTATTCAGTTTACTAATCAGAAACATCCCCAACACCTCCCCCCCCCCAATCAATTCACAGGGCTTAGAAAAACTCACCCAGAGCACAACTGGAAAATGTTATTTATTCTTCCCTGTTGCCCAGGGAGGCGCAGGGCGTTTTCCATTCCTTGCATCACAGCTAGGGAGGGATGGAACCACTTTAGTTTTCGGTCTGCAGCTCATTAATTAATTAAGGGAAAGCCTTAATTGCTGGAGTGGTGCTAGGCAAGGAAGGCCTGGAGCTTGGCCCAGAGGCTTGGAACGGATACAAAATGAGAGTTTAGGGCACAAAGACCCGAATACATGTAGTCCTCAATTTACGACTGTTCATTTAGTGACCGTCCAAAAGTTACAGTGGTCCTGGAAAAAAAAAAGATTTATAATGGATCCTCACACAACCTTCGCTGCCTCCCCACAATCGTTTGATCACAATTTAGGTGCTTCACAACCAGCAGATATTTAGGACCATTGTGTGATCGCCATTTGTGACCATCCCAGCTGCCTTGTAGTAATAATAATAATAATAATAATAATAATAATGATAATACAAAGACCTACAAATAGAAATAGAAAGACTGTGGCAAAAGCAAGCAAGGGTAGTACCAATAGTAATAGGCTCTTTGGGTGCAATCCCAAAACAACTTGAGCACCACTTGAACACAATTGGCATTGACAAATTCGCTATTAGTCAATTGCAAAAGGCGGCCTTGCTAGGAACTGCTTCCATCCTGCGACGATATCTGTAATACCATCAAACATCCACATCTGCCTATCCCAGGTCCTGGGTAAGGACTCGACAGGTAGACAAAATGCCAAATCCAGTCTGAACATCTGGCTGACTGTGCGATGATCAATAATAATAATAATAATAATTGTCGATAAGAAAGACAAAAAAGTCTGGATAGTGGATGTGGCAGTGCCTGGAGATAGCAGAATAGAAGAGAAAGAACTGGAGAAGATAACAAAATACAAAGACCTACAAATAGAAATAGAAAGACTGTTGCAAAAGCAAGCAAGGGTAGTACCAATAGTCATAGGCTCCTTGGGTGCAATCCCAAAACAACTGGAGCACCACTTGAACACCATTGGCATTGACAAATTCGCTATTAGTCAATTGCAAAAGGCAGCCTTATTAGGAACTGCTTCCATCCTGCGACGATATCTGTAATACCATCAAACATCCACATCTGCCTATCCCAGGTCCTGGGTAAGGACTCGATAGGTAGACAAAATGCCAATCCAGTCTGAACATCTGGCTGACTGTGCGATGATCGATAATAATAATAATAAAGTTGGAAGGGACCTTGGAAGTCATCTAGTCCAACCCCCTTCTCAGGCAGGAAACCCTACACCATTTCAGACAAAGGGCTGTCCAGTCTCTTCTTCCGACAAGTGCAGTCAGTGGGGGAAGCTGGATTCACTTACTGACTGTGTGATTCACTTAACGACTGCAGTGGTTCGCTTAAGAATTGTGGCAAAAAATGGGTCATAAAATTGGGTATGATGCTCTTCTACAGCTGCCTTGCTTACGGTGGAAATTCTGGGCCAGTGGTGGCCGTACGTTGAAGGAACGCTCCTAGTTCCTTGACCAGGTTTCTGGAAGAACCCCCTCATATTTTGGGGTTCCTGAGGAATTTTCCTAGGTAGCTTCTCAGCCACCCTCCATCCTGGCTCATGTCCAGAAAAACCATCTCTTCTTGGTGGCTAAGATGGGTCATCACGGGAGGATCTGAAGGACATTGTCAAACAAGTCAAGCTGGAAGCCACCTGGGTGTGATGCAGACTCCACCATCAGAGTTTCATTTAAGCTGCCATCTTGACTTTTTTGACCTGCTCCGTGGACACCCCTGGGGTCATCTTTACCTTCTGGGGCCCAGCTGAAAGCTACAAATTGTCCCCTTGTCCAAGGACAGCTGCAGTCCAACTGAACATCATGGAGAACCTCAAGGGATGATCTCAATCAACCTTGAAAACATAACCTTATTTTTTTCAAACGCAAACCAACAAACCAACAACACACGGTTTGCTTCAAGGGGACTGTTGATAAACTAATCAATTCCCATTATCCTCACCTTCCTGAAGCTTTTCTTTGGTGCTGATAAGAGGAAAGCTCTCCATTTTGCTGACAGCAAAGAATGAAACCCGGTCTATTTTTTTTTAGGAGAAGCCATCTATCTTTGTTCATTCTTTGCTTCAAGGTGGTTTCGCCAGGTTGACCGTGCTCAGTGGGGCGTACTTGGGACGTGGGCTGGATTGCCCACTCCCATGATCCTCAGCCAAGGTGGCTGGGAGTTTCTAGGGGTGAAATACAGTATCAGATGTTGCATCAAGCAAATGATTTTGGAGGGCTTTGGTAGAATAGAATAGGATAGGATGGGATGGGATGGGATGGGATGGAATGGAATAGAATAGAATAGAATAGAATTAACAGATTATAGAATGGAATAGATTGTAGAATAGAATAGAAAGATTGTAGAATAGAATAGAATAGAATAGAATAGAATAGAATAGAATAGAATAGAATAGAATAGAATAGAATAGAATAGAATAGAATTAACAGATTATAGAATGGAATAGATTGTAGAATAGAATAGAAAGATTGTAGAATAGAATAGAATAGAATAGAATAGAATAGAATAGAATAGAATAGAATAGAATAGAATAGAATAGAAATAACAGATTATAGAATAGAATAGAATAGATTGTAGAATAGAATAGAATAGAATAGAATAGAATGTAGAATAGAATAGAATAGAAATAACAGATTATATAATAGAATAGAACAGAATTAGAATTAGAATAGAATTAATAAAATGGAATAGAATAGAATAGAATAGAATAGAATAGAATAGAATAGAATAGAATAGAATAGAGCTGGAAGGGACCTTGGAGGTCTTCTAGTCCAGCCCCCTGCTCAAAGATGGCCAATATTCTGGAAGACCAGGCCCCCCGGGGAAGGTGGACACAGATGTTCCGCAGAAGTTCTCCTAGGTCAGGGCTTCTCTCCATCCCCAAACTGCCTCCTGCATCTGAGCTTCCTCTTTTTTGCCAGAGGACTCCACCTACATGGAGAGCAAAGAGGACCTGGTTGAGTATGTGTTGACTCAACAAGGCCTGATCTACCAAGGATCGAAGGACTACATTGTCCCCGTCCCATGGAACTTCGGACAGGTGAGCTGTTCTCTTGTCCCTGCCACGGGTGAGGGTATCTGTCTGTGCCACCAGCTCAGGTGGGGTGGGAGAACTTCAGGTTCCTTCTGTCAAACAAGGCCACCTGATAGGGCAACATTTTCTGTCGTGGCCAATCTTTGGGTAGCCTCTCCCCAAGATTTCAAGCCCCCCCCCACATCCTCTTCGCCTTCCAGAAGATCATAAAGACCTGGATTTTTCACTCAGGAACTGGGTTAGGGGGGAAGTGAACACACAAATGTGTGACTGAGGGGACGTGGTGGCGCTGCGGTACGGTATGCGATGTCATTGTGGGTTTTTCTGGGTTTTGTTTATTCTGATTTTGTAAGTGATGTTGGGAGTCAGCTAGGGCTATGGGGAGTAAGAGAGGCAGCCATGTCAGTGATTTAAATCAGTCAGTCAGTATAACGGGCACCTTCTCATCCATCTTAAAGACTGACTGTGTCCTTTTGGTTTCATTCAGCTGAGGAGAGGAAGGTTTTTTTGGGTGGGGAAGGAATGGATGGGGTGCTGGTCTGTCTCCCCACAACCTGTTGCTACTCAGGGGGAGGGTTATTGTGTCTGTCTGTCTGTCTGTCTGTCTGTCTGTCTGTCTGTCTATCTATCTATCTATCTATCTATCTATCTATCTATCTATCTATCTATCTATCTAATCTATCTATCTATCATCTGTCTATCTATCTATCATCTGTCTATCTATCTATGTATCATCTGTCTATCTATATCTATCTATATCTATCTATCTATCTATCATCTATCTACTATCTATCTATCTATCTATCTATCTATCTATCTATCTTTCTATCATCTGTCTATCTATCTATCATCTGTCTATCTATCTATCTATCTGTCTGTCTGTCTGTCTGTCTATCTATCTTATCTATCTATAGATAGATAGTTTTTAAGAAGAGATTGGACAATGATTTGTCTGAAATAGTATAAAGTTTCCTGCCTGAGCATGGGATTGGACTAGATGACCTCCAAAGTTCCTTTCAACTTTATTATTATTGTTATTGTTGTTATTGTTATTATTATCTATCATCTATTATCTATCTATATCTATCCCTCTATGATCTATCTATATCTATCCCTCTATCTCTCTATCTCTATCTAGCTATCTCTCTCCATCCATCATCCATCCATCCATCCATCCATCCATCCATCCATCCATCCATCTATCTATCTATCTATCTATCTATCTATCTATCTATCTATCTGGGGTACATACAGGCATCAAAACACCAAAACAATATATACATATTGTAATAAAAGCAGTTAAAAACAAGAATAAAATAATTAAAACCCGGAATTGAGAAAAGGCGGGGGAGGGGCTTCCAGGGCGCTAACCAGGCCCACAGCTGCAAGCTTCTCTGTGCTCCCCACACAAGGCTGCCGAGCTGTGTTTTCACCCCTTTCCGGGAGACCAGAGCAGTGGGGGCCTGCCTGACTGGGGGGGGGGTGCAATATTCCACAGGGCAGGGGCAACAGCAGAGAAAGCTCCATTCCTGGAATCCCCCCCCCCCCCGTTGGAATTCTTTACCTAACAAGGCCTGCAACCGGCCTGATCGGGTGGGATGGGCTGATGGAATAAAGAGGGGTCGGTAGGCAACCTGGCCCTCTGCTATGGGGGGGCTTTATAGGTCACAACCAACACGTTGAAGTGGATCCACTTCAGCGTAGTTCGCGTAGTTCGCGGAGCAGAGGTGTCGTGTGTGTCCTTCTCTGGGCACCCAAAATTGCTTGCTTGGCTACATTCCGCAGCAGCTGAAGCTTCTAAATATTCTCCAAGGGTAGCCCCATGTAGAGCGCTTTGCAGTAGTCAAGATGGGAGATGACTGGGGCAAATCATGTGAAGCAAGAGAAAAATGATCACCATCACCCCAATTTCATTTCCCTCCAGGAACTGCAGAGTTTAGGATCCCTCCATGAAGGCTCATTCCACAAAACAGATTTATTTATTGAGGGGGGTCCCGGGTGGTCTCCGAGCGGGGGGGGGGTTTCTTGCAGACATTTCATAACCCAAACTAGGCAACATGTTACCCAGATGTTTGGGTCCTGAAACATCTGCAAGAAAACTACCAAACGCAGAGAGCAACAAGGACGCCTCTTGTCAACCCTGAGCTGCTGCTAATATAATAATAATAATAATAATAATAATAATAATAATAATATAGTTGGAAGGGACCTTGGAGGTCATATAGTCCAACCCCCTGCTCAGGCAGGAAACCCTACACCATTTCAGACAAATGGCTGTCCAGTCTCTTCATTATAAATAATAATAAAGTTGGAAGGGACCTTGGAGGTCATCTAGTCCAACCCCCTGCTCAGGCAGGAAACCCTATCCCATTTCAGACAAACCATTGTCCAGTCTCTTCTTTAAAACCTCCAGTGTTGGAGCATTCACCACTTCTGGAGGCAGGCTGTTCCACTGGTTAATTCTCCTCCCTGTTAGGAAATTTCTCCTTAGTTCCAGGTTGCTTCTCTCCTTGGTTAGTTTCCATCTGTTGCTTCTTGTCCTGCCTTCAGGCGCTTTGGAGAAGAGCTTGACTTCTTCTTCTTTGGGGCAGCCCCTGAGATACTGGAAGGCTGCTATCATGTCCCCCCTGGTCCTTCTCTTCATTAGACTAGACAGACCCAATTCCAGCAGCTGTTCCTCATATGTTTTAGCCTCCAGTCCCCTGATCATCTTTGTTGCTCTTCTCTGCACTCTTTCCAGAGTCTCAACATCTTTTTTACATCACGGTGACCAAAACATATCCTCCTTCATTAGATGTCTTTATTTTTAAAAAATTATTGGCCGTCCCACCACAGGGCAACGTGGCTAAAAATACGAAGGCACCACCGCATACCATAACATCCAAACCTATTTTTAAACATTTGCCACTAGGAAAGTAATTTTAAAAAAATATTTGTGTTTCTTTTTTTGGACATGACCGGTGGCATCTTGGCACCAGAGTAACCAAAGCCCAGCCTGTCTGAGATGGTGTAAGTTCTCCTGCTTGAGCGGTGGGCTGGAAGACCTCCAATGTCCCTTCCAGCTCTATTCTATTCTATTATTCCTTGGGGTTTTTTTTAAAGTTCATATTAAAGATGAAATAGACTCAATCTTAACGATGACCTGGGACAGACATAGAATAGAATAGAGTAGAGTAGAGTAGAGTAGAGTAGAGTGGAGTAGAGTGGAGTAGAGTAGAGTAGAGTAGAGTAGAGTAGAGTAGAATAAAGTAGAGTAGAGTAGAATTACAAAATAGAATAGAATAGAGTAGAGTAGAGCAGAGCAGAATATAGTAAAATAGAATAGAATTACAGAATAGAATAGAGTAGAGTAGAGTAGAGTAGAGTAAAGTAGAGTAGAACAGAGCAGAATAGAGTAGAATTACAGAATAGAATAGAATAGGATAGAGTAGAACAGAACAGAATAGAATAGAAAATATGGAATATGGAATAGAATAGAATAGAATAGAATTATGGGATAGAATATGGAATATGGAATATGGAATAGAATAGAATAGAATAGAATAGAATAGAATAGAATAGAATAGAATAGAATAGAATAGAATAGAACAGAATAGTAGAATGGTGTCACCAATTCTTGCTTGCAGGCAAAGGGTATGTTTCTTGCAGATCTTCCAGTGCCCCATTGTTGCTACTTTGTGGTGCCATTGTATGTAGTCAGACTGGGTGATCTTCTTGCAGCTGCTCTCCAGGTGGTCCACCTTTGTTTGCATTCTTTTCAGAGGCAGCACTTGCTGTTTGTTGCTGTCTTCTCAATTCTGGCTTTGTATACCTTTGTTCTTACAGCTTGGTCTTGCGTAGCCAGAATTAACCTCTCTGTCTCTTCAACTGTCCTGCTCTTAGCCATTGCCAGGTCTTGTTATTATCTGCTTTATCTGTTACTTTTTTTGTAATGTATTGGCTATATATTGCTTTGTCTTCCCACGCCTCCTTTCTCTTCTTCATTTGATCGCTCATGTAGGCCAGTTTGGTCTCTCCAGTAGTCAGTAAGCCTTCCTGATATACTAATTTCAGTGCATCTTCATCATTGTTCTTTAGATATTCTTCCAAAGCCATTTTTTCTTCTTCAACCATCTGATGTACTTGTAGCATTCCACGCCCACCTATTTGCCTTGGTAGATAAAGTCTATCAATGTCACTGCGAAGGATGAAGGATGATTGATTCATTGTCATTATTTTTCTGCTTTTCCTATCCGTTGCTTTTAGTCCTGTTTGAGTCCAGGCCACTATTCCAGCTGTGTATCTAATGAGTCGAATTTTCTAAGTATTAATTGCCTTGATGGTGTTTCCTCCACTGAGTTTGGACTTTAAGAGCTTCTTCACTCTCTTGATATATTCAGTTCTTAGTTCTTTCTTGACTTCCGTGTGCTTGATGTTGTCAGCTTGAAGGATGCCCAGGTACTATGATCATTTCATCCAGACGAGACCCTTGATGTTACTTCCGCAGGGCGTCTTTGGTTCCTTCGATTTTCACTATTTTTCCCTGATGATTTTAAGCATGGCGCATTTGTCCAGTCCAAACTCCATTGCAATATCTTGGCTGTGTCTGTGCATAGTGTTGAGCAGCGATTCCGTTGGAGGCGGGGGTTTTCCATACAGCTTCAGATCGTCCGTGTGTAAAGGAGGTGGGACAGCCTGGCAGATGTTTCTGATGTTAGGTGCCAAATGTGGAGAATGAATGCAGGACTGTAGAGGCTTTGTGGCTGAGGATTCCTGCTCAAAGAGAAATTGAATCAAGGGTGTTCGCTGAGCACGGCCAAGGGCGTCCAGATTGATTGATTTGGTTTTGTTTGATGGGATGGGATTTAATTTGATTTTTATAGCTGCCCATGTCAGCAAACGACTCTGGGCGGTTCACAATTCAAAAACGCAATTAAAATCTTCAAATCATTTGAAAACAATAAAAACCATTAAAATGTTTAAAAAAATTAAAATGTCTGATCTGAGTACCTACAAAGCGAGAGGCA